TCGTTGAAAAATGCAAAGTGCAACAACGGCGCGACACCCACCGAACACGATGCGACGTACGTCGGGAGAAAGAAAACAATCCGTTAGAGGACGTGAAATTATGCAACGCGTACAACAGTGCGACATATAGTTTCACGAAAATATAGATATTAAACTGTGTTGCTTGGAAAAACCCGTGTTTTTTACGGAAGCCATTTCATAAAGCTTACAATATATATCCGTCGAGATGAAGGTTTATGCTTAACTTTTTGCGGAAGAAATTTCGCGCTCTCAGTTTTATTGATTTCTCAATACCGTTGTAAGAAAGGACATATAACATTGGTCAACAAAATAAGACCTTTTTCTTTGCCTTAAGTTTTATCAAGTCATTTCTGGTAGATTTTTTAGCACTTATTACGAATCTGGCTGTAAAAATGGCGTATCGCTTCAAGTTTTTGATAAAACCTCAGTCAAAGTTACTAAAATAGGCATTTTGGACGAGTTATATCTTTCAATAGGGCTCCAAAAAGCAGCGTCAGCTCAAAATAAAGCTCAAGACTTATACTTTATGATAAAAATGCCAGAAATTCCAGGCAGGAAAGGTTTTTCTGAAAAAAAGTGGTCGCAACATAAGAAACATCATTTATCGTAGTGTTCCCCAAACATACGTCTCTAATTGTCCGTTACTAAAATATTAATGCCAAAAATTACTCCAATTTTGTTTTTAAGTGATAAACACAAAAACCTATACATATCCATTTCCATGATTTGAATGATTTTTTTAAAATTCCATCCGCCATTTTGGATCCTTCATTTTTTATTTTGAAATTTCAACACGTGATTTATGATGAGTGACCAGGCAAACGTATACATACCGACTTTCATGATTAGAATGATTTTTAAAAAAATTTTGGTAACGGACAATTGATAGCGATAGATGTTTCTTATGTTTCGACCACTTTTTTTAGGAAAACCTTTCCTGTCTGGGACTTCTGGCATTTTTATCGGGAGGTATTTCATTGTCACAATAAATGTACATTTTTTCTGGAATTACTTACGCATTACTTCGCATTACGTCATATTCGCATTACGCCGCATTATTTTGCATTGATTTACAAATCACAAAACAATAATAATCCAGACAAGATTAAAAACGTCTTAAAAAATAAAAATGATGTCGTTGTGACATCTTTAGAACGTCTTTCAGACACGCGTGAATAATTTTCTGAGAGAGTCAAATTTATTATTATTTATTTATCAATATCTCAAATAAATAGATAACAACCGCAAAAAGATAATTTTTTAAATTTAATAAAATAAATTAAAAATAAGATATTGTTGGTAAGAAAATCGACACTATGTTGATTTTTTGTTACCAAATGCGACTGTCTACAGATAGATAGTTACGATTAAGAGGGATGTCCAGAGAAATGCCATCTAAAACCAAAAAAGAACTAAATAAAAGGAGTGCCAACCTAAGGACCAATAAACAAAAGAAAAAAACTCAAAACAATGACCTTTCATCTGAAAGTACGTCTTCTATAGTTGAACTCGAACGTGAATTTGTCCGTCGAATTACTTAGAATTACATGGTGCATTACACGGAATTACTTGAGTAATTCCCGGTAATTTGCAATACATGTAGACATTTTTGGTGAGTGTGACATCCCTCGATTTTTATCATAAAGCATATGTCTTGAGCTTCATTTTGCGCTGTTGCTGCTTTCTGGAGCACGTCGAAAGATATAACTGACGCAAAAATATCAAAAAACGGCTATTTTAGCAACTTTGATTGAGGTTTTCTTAAAAATTTGACGTGATACGCCATTTTTACGGCCAGTTCGTAATCAGCACTAAAAAATCTACCAGGAATGACTTGATAGAACTTAAGACAAATTTGATGTTGAACGGTATAATCATAAATATTTTGAATTATAATTCTAATCAATGTAATACTGTTATGTTTCGACGTATCTTTTATTACCTTTTATTGATTGAAACCTCATTAAATTTTTTTTTTTTTGAGAGGATAGAATTACGAGAGACGTTGTGTAGGATCGATTTATCGCAGCAATTGTGCTTAATTTACACGACAGAATTGCGTAAACATTGGCGTCACACAACGCATCAATCACTTCGACAAGGAAAGAAAAGTATGCTTTAAAGCTTGTTAAGCTTCTTTTTTTCGCTGACAAAAACTACGAATATTTCAACTGCCTCATGACGCTTGCATAATATGCATCATATGTCAAAACATGTGCGCGTTGCGCGTTATTTTTTTTCGTGATATAATCGTGATGTAAAAAACGAATGGGATTACGCGAACGAATGGTTAGCTCGACAAAAAAATTTTAGAAAGAGAATAGTATATGATGAATTGCATGGAAGAGAGATAGAGAGAAGAAGATCCGTGTAGTAATTTCCTGAAGATTAATTCGCGTCGGAATATGGGACGCGTAAGATAATTAAACATGAGATGTTTTGTGAAAGATGTACTGATTACATTGGTCGACAAAACAAGACCTTTTTTTTTACTATAAGTTCTATCAAGTCATTTCTGGTAGATTTTATAGCGCTGATTACGAATCTGGCCGTAAAGATGGCGTATCACGTCAAGTTTTTAAAAAAATCTCAGTCAAAGTTGCTAAAATAGGTATTTTTGATACTTTTGCGTGTTATATCTTTAAATAGGGACGTACTCCAGAAGGCAGCGACAGCTCAAAATGAAGCTCAAGACTTATACTTTATGATAAAAATGCCAGAAATTCCAGGCAGGAAAGGTTTTTCTGAAAAAAAGTGGTCGCAACATAAGAAACATCATTTATCGTAGTGTTCCCCAAACATACGTCTCTAATTGTCCGTTACTAAAATATTAATGCCAAAAATTACTCCAATTTTGTTTTTAAGTGATAAACACAAAAACCTATACATATCCATTTCCATGATTTGAATGATTTTTTTAAAATTCCATCCGCCATTTTGGATCCTTCATTTTTTATTTTGAAATTTCAACACGTGATTTATGATGAGTGACCAGGCAAACGTATACATACCGACTTTCATGATTAGAATGATTTTTAAAAAAATTTTGGTAACGGACAATTGATAGCGATAGATGTTTCTTATGTTTCGACCACTTTTTTTAGGAAAACCTTTCCTGTCTGGGACTTCTGGCATTTTTATCGGGAGGTATTTCATTGTCACAATAAATGTACATTTTTTCTGGAATTACTTACGCATTACTTCGCATTACGTCATATTCGCATTACGCCGCATTATTTTGCATTGATTTACAAATCACAAAACAATAATAATCCAGACAAGATTAAAAACGTCTTAAAAAATAAAAATGATGTCGTTGTGACATCTTTAGAACGTCTTTCAGACACGCGCGAATAATTTTCTGAGAGAGTCAAATTTATGATTATTTATTTATCAATATCTCAAATAAATAGATAACAACCGCAAAAAGATAATTTTTTAAATTTAATAAAATAAATTAAAAATAAGATATTGTTGGTAAGAAAATCGACACTATGTTGATTTTTTGTTACCAAATGCGACTGTCTACAGATAGATAGTTACGATTAAGAGGGATGTCCAGAGAAATGCCATCTAAAACCAAAAAAGAACTAAATAAAAGGAGTGCCAACCTAAGGACCAATAAACAAAAGAAAAAAACTCAAAACAATGACCTTTCATCTGAAAGTACGTCTTCTATAGTTGAACTCGAACGTGAATTTGTCCGTCGAATTACTTAGAATTACATGGTGCATTACACGGAATTACTTGAGTAATTCCCGGTAATTTGCAATACATGTAGACATTTTTGGTGAGTGTGACATCCCTCGATTTTTATCATAAAGCATATGTCTTGAGCTTCATTTTGCGCTGTTGCTGCTTTCTGGAGCACGTCGAAAGATATAACTGACGCAAAAATATCAAAAAACGGCTATTTTAGCAACTTTGATTGAGGTTTTCTTAAAAATTTGACGTGATACGCCATTTTTACGGCCAGTTCGTAATCAGCACTAAAAAATCTACCAGGAATGACTTGATAGAACTTAAGACAAATTTGATGTTGAACGGTATAATCATAAATATTTTATATTATAATTCTAATCAATGTAATACTGTTATGTTTCGACGTATCTTTTATTACCTTTTATTGATTGAAACCTCATTAAATTTTTTTTTTTTTTTTTAAAGAACAAGAATATGGCATCGCGCGTTTTGCAGGAAGCGTCTCGCGTTTAATACGTCTGGATTTCATTTCTTCCTTTCTGAAAGGCAGTTTAATGTTATGTCCGTGCAGCCGGCTCGCATTACTGGGTCGTGGCTTATCGCTCTAAATGCCGTAAATCTGATCGCGTTTACATGGCGCATCCAGCAACGAGTTAACGTTGTTCCGTGCATCGTTTATAACTCGCTACCGTTTCGCGGCGGAGAACGATATAGGTAAAGAGTGCTTTTACTGCTTGTATTAAGTACCGGCATCGGAAAGCAACTACTTCTACCATCGTAATCTTCACGTTATCTCGCTAATTCCCTATTCGTACGAGTGCAATATTTAAGTAAAATAAATCACTCTGTTTGCGAGCATTGTACTTACACTCTTCGCTTAATTTTTCTATACACATTTCAGAATTCTTGAATAGCTCGTATATTTAAATAAAAAGATTAATTATAATCGCTATTAATTGCGATTCGATATTTATTTCGTTAACAAGATCACATGGACTACGCTTTGTTCGTTTTAATCGTTGCGAACGATAAATCAACCGTTGGCGTGAATAAAAATTTTCAACGTAATTAATTCACTCGCACTGGCTTTAAAAGCGTTTGATACAAGGAGCACGTTCGAATGTCATCAAATATCGGATTTAACCGACGCGTGTCGATGTTATTGACTTTGAGGATAAAATTTCACATAGCTGTTGGCGAATGTTAACTAAAAGTGCGCGCCATTGTCACAGCTCTTTCGATGGTCATTAGCTAAACATAATTAAAATTTGTTTCAGATTGGATAGCCGAGTGAAGTAAATAGCTTCGAGGACTCTGAAATAGACATGTGTGAGGATCAACCGAACGTTACTCGCCAATGACGCAGGGTGAGTGTTTCTAGTATCGCATTCAATTTTTATCGGAGCACAATTTTTCTTTATCGCACATCGAATCGCTTAGTACAATATTGTAGTTTTTTTTGTTTTTTTTTACATTGAATAGGGCGTATGTTTTAATATAAATTCTGTTTAATTTTCCAAATTGTTAATACACTAAATAACATAACGGATATTCGAAAACACTTGATCCACAATAAATGATTTTGTTCAATCTTGCTATCACTTTACAATTCGCCCAACTGTTCCGCTTTCGCTCTCAATTCGCACTGCTGTTTTCACTAACTCATCCTTTCTTTCATAGGCACGTACAATATTGTATAGCCATTGATAGATTACTCGCTCTTTGATCAAATTTCGCCTAAAGCCAAATATCTTCGCTGACGACCCTGAAAAACGCGTCAATAATTTCTCTCTTACATTTCATTAATCGTTTTATTTCAAACAATGAAAGATGTACGATTGAAATTTCATTATTATAGTGATGTGCATTGTAATCGTACACGCATAATATATGTATATTGGCACATATAATTCTCTGGAGATTATATATGGCATGTGTATTTTCCTCCGTTCCATTCGATTTTCTACCTTTCTCGATATGACATCGTATAAATCATATAAGAGGAAAATCCAGAGGAAAAGAATCATGAAGATGTGTACGGCACACAAAGATAAAAGGAAATATGTACATTCGACGCTCGATCGATATGCATTATCGCACAATCTGTTTGCGCGGCCATAAATGGCCACACGCGCGTACGCCAGCGGATATATGATAGTTTCTCAATGATTTCTCAAATCATTAGGTGAAAGGCCCTGTAGGAGGCCGCCTCCCTTCTCGATCTCGATCTCCCTTTTCCTCGTCGCAGGTTCGATACTTGTCTTAACAACCGCGCGATATACGTTTCTCACATGTTTGTTTCTTCCATCGCGTATTCTCCTTTAGCCGCGTACGAAAAATGTGAAAAATAAACCCATTAACTTCCAGTTTTCTCCTCCGTGAAACGTTGCACAATCTCGGTTTCCTTGCGTCGTTATTAAACAAAGTAATTAACGGATTGAACCACTTTATTAGATGGTATTCTTGGCGACTTGAAAGTTTTTGTTGAAAAAGAGACTGTGCAGAGATAGCACGCTATAATCTTTAAATTTATGAAGATTCTCTACGAGTCGGACGTGTAAAGAGAATCTTAAAATTTTGAACAAACAAAGTAATATTTCCTATAGCTCTTATCCCGAAGAAAAATGATAATTTTGTCAAAAATATGGTATCTTTAATATTTCTTTCGGCAAGCGTGCCAAAAGAAAATTCTAACGATAAATCGAGATATTTCTATGATGCGCTCATTTGTATAATATGTTGGATAAAAATCAATACACGTAATATCGTTTGTTATTCCCGCTATTTTCTGCGCGCTGCGGGTGCTATGTGGAGAAACTAATTGGCCGAAATAACAGTTGCGTTATATCTCGCGAAGGGCCATTTGGGACTCGCCTTGGCGCGCTTCCACGGTGGAAATCGACGGGCAAAGTGATTTATCGATTGAATTTTAATTTCCGGATCTGCATAACTTTTATCTCTCTTCTCGCTGCATCGCGGCGTATAACGAACAAGAGCGAATCAAACGATGTGGAAAAAGGCGTCGCGAACATTATCGTCACGCGATCCTGGCATTTTTCACGGCGTCACGCGCCAATTTATCCGCGAAATTTTCGGATTAAAAATAGTCTTTAGTTACGCGCGATAGATTTCGACATCGGACGCGACAGTCGATTCTTTTTGCGAAGAGTGCCGTTACGCTAAATATTTTGCTCGTCGAAACGACAAATAAAATTGTCGCGCAAATTGTACATTTTTCACAAATGGTACAGGAATCGCGTACGATAACGTATTTGTATGGGATAGATTCCTATGTACTCAGCGACAGCTTGATAGCCGGCAAAGGCATGCTGTCGCGAGTTTTTCTGCCACATTTTTCGTATGCATTCCGCGCGGATAAATCTGTGATCTCTTTTTTTTATTCCATTTCCGATATCGTTGAAACAAAAGCGATATTTTTTCTCTATTTCCCCGCAGCGTCATAGCGAAACAAAGAGTGCATGGCAGTTCTGGAATTCGTTTTCAATTTGCGGACGTCAACGGTCAAATTGGACGTAAAACTTTGCAATTGATTCGTTCTTTGTCTATGGTGAACCTGATTTTATCGGAAACACGATTTACCTGCAATATATTTTTGTCTTTTTAATAAATTCTATATGCATGTAGGTAAAGACGCGCGAATAATATTCTTGTATAAGTTAAAATAGCCGTAAACGAATAATTTCATAATGTCACTTCTATGCCAATTAGTAGTTTTTAATCAAAACTTATTAATTAAACGTCAATTAAAATTCGGCAATAATTCATCGAGGGATATTAATGTCACTCAAATTGCCTGCCTTCCATTTCCATTATTCCAGAGCTTCAATGTGCGTCTCTGTAACCGCGACAGACGGCATAGGATATTAACCAAGACAAGGACAATCACGCTAAACCCGCCGACGTGTGGTGTCTCTCCGTCTCTGTCAACATCGTGCATTCGCCCGCTCGTGTGAATCTCGCAGATCTACCGTCTGCCCGCCCGCCCGTTCGCCGCCGCCGCTAAATTATAGACTGGTACGCGAACGTATTTTCTTCCATGCATATTGCATATAGATAACGAGGGACGCCACCGCCGTCGCCAAGCGCTCGTTTCACCAAGGCAGGCGCCGCGACGCTCAATTCCATCTGTGCGCGACGTACACGCGCGCGCATATGTCACGGCTCGCACGATTCTCTCCTTCCTCCCTTTCTCCCTCGCTCGCACGTGCATGAAACTATATCATCCTTTCTCTCTCTTTCTTTCCCTCTTTTCCTCTCTCTTTTTCTCTTTCTCTCTCGACATCGAGCTTGTTCCGAGTGTTCAGACATTCGCACGAGAGAGAGAGAGAGAGAACATATGTCGAGAGAGATCTTAAAATTCCTCCCCTAACCGCATCTCAGACGCCACGCCGCCTTCCTGCTCGGCTTTTCTTCAGGCAAATCATCATCTTGAGAAAATTCTCAGCCTCCGTTCTTTCCATTCAACGAGGTAATTTTTATCAACCAATCTCAGTCCTTGTCGCGAAATCATGGAACCATTTTCCGCGGACACAAGTTGAATTAGATTATTTAGAAATCGGACTCGAATAAATGCGACCATTTCTTGCGTTTGATGAAGATTGCAACGTGTTTAATCGCATCATTTTTGTGGATTATTTATCAACTTTTATATATTCAATCTTTTTCATTTTTTCATGGAAAAGAAATTTTTGCGGTAAATCAGAGATTAATTTTTTTGTTTTTTTTTTATCATAATCATGATTTATCGTCTCTTGATATCTTTATGATTCTCGCGGCTCAAAATGTTACTATATCCCGTTATTAATTGAAGGAGCCAATTTGCTAGTAAATAATCAATATCTTAATCATTTTTATTTAATATTAATATATCTATTATTATATTTTAGAATACTATAACTAAAATTAATATATTAAATAAAATCTGCCACAATTTTGTTTTATAAAATAAAAGAGAAATTATTGGTTAAAAGTCTTGGTTAAAAGAGAAATTAATCATAGCGAGCAAGAGAAAGCCGTCCAAGTCAGATGTTCTTTCGAAGGGACTTCTTCGCTTCTTTCATTTTCTACTCTAGCTTGTTACTTCAGTTTTGTAGTTTTTGTCGCTGTCCTTCTTGTTACTTCGTAGCGTTCTTTGCTGTCCGTCACAGTCATTTTCTGAGTATACTTGAAGATACCGTCGTATTTAGTTCGCGCTTTAACGAAGCTTTAAACAAAGGTGGATTGCAAATATAAAGTGTGTACGTCCAAAATAACGTACAATACTTTATTTTAAAGTACGGGTGGCAACCCTTATTGCAAGCCACGGTGTTTCTAACTCGATAATTACATATCCGAGGAAAGTTTTCGATTGCGGAGAGCTAATTTAATAATAACGAATAAAGTATAAAATGTGACGAAGAACTAATGAATTAATTCAACGAATATTTGCTGCTTTTGCAAAATTTGTTTCTTTCTTTTTTTTTTTTTTTTAGAAAAAAGCAAAGTCGTGCGAATTGAAGTAAAAATATTGAAGGTAGAATTAAAACTTTCGTAACAATGATATGTGTTAAAGTATGTAAAGAATGTATTCTCTACTCTTGTCTCTCGATTTATTTAATTCGCGCTACAGCTTCCTTGGCTATTGTATACGCTTTATTAAAGCAAGTTATGAAGTTTATGAATGCTACGTCCACGGTATTGACTCTGGAAAGAAATACGACTTTGATATACTTCCGGCGAGGGAAGATGAACCGGCGAGTTGTAAATAATGAGAATTCCATTCGACGGAGTTACTCCTCTCTTCCTCGAAATTTCTCCTTTTGTGTAAAAGTATAGCGCGCCTTACGAATACTCGTAATCTAGCAAAGCTCGCGTATATCCGGCAGGTAATTCGAAGTTCAAACTATTTCTCCAGTTTTTCTCTTACCCTCGAGGGATACTATCTCACCCTCCTCCTTCCTTTTTTTTCCCATTTTCGCGCGTTTGCATTTTTCACGACACGAGTGAAATTCACCGCTGAATTCCTTGCTCGAGATCTCGTCGGTTGCTTTATATCGTGGCCGTAGAAACCGTGGAAAGGGTAATGCATTTCCGTGCGTGGCAGAAGTGTTCCCCGATTGCACAAAGCAGATTGCATAATCAAGCCGGGACTTAGTAATAAATAAGTTGAAAAAGACTTTATCCGCGCTAGAGCAAGATACACGAGGATTGCTCCGAGCGATTTTCTCTACCATAATCCGTTAAAGAGGAATTATTCCCGAGCGACTAACACAGTCACAATTACCGTGATCCTGCATCGCAAATTAATTTTGGAAGCTTATTAATTTTGATTCATCTACAATATAATGAAGTCATAAAATGCGTAAAA